TTTGCGTATTAAGTATTCAATACAAAAATGTTCAATGTCAGGCTTTAAGACAATTCCCCTCGTTTTCGCAGGGCTGAACTGACTCCTTCCCGCACGTGCTGCTCTAGAAGCCAGCCTCTGGAAGGGACCGGACTCCCCTGCACCTCTGTGACACAGCGGCAGTGTCTCGGTCACGACAGGAGAAGCGAAGGCATCTGCACCAGATGCCCACTGACCCACCCCGGGCGTGTCACGGGACTGTAACGTAAGGACCGGGGCGTGACTACGCTGGGGCAGCCACCCACCAAACTGCTGCTGGGGGGCTGCACCACCCACGCCTTCCGACAGAGAACCGGCTCCTGCAGACACACGGCAGGAAAGTCCCTCACAGCAGAGTTAGCGCCAGGAGGACTGCGGGGATTTCCTTGGCTCAGGTCACCCACAGATCAAAGAGCTGCAGGGTGGAGACTTGGCCAGGGAGAGCTGCTCTGCCGTGACTGAGGATACGGTTTTGTGTGTTCTGCCAACACGCATCTAGGCTGCATGACACAGCGGGGAGACGGGCGTCGATGGAAACTTATGAGACCATAAAAAAAGGCAAATTCTGGTTTGTTTCATCTGGTCACCGACACTTCCCCTAAGCACAAGGGCACCTTCCACGTGGGGGCAGACGGAAGGTTTAAGTCAGCAGCTTCCAGCTGGGATTGGTACGGTGAAACGGGATTGTACCTTCAGCACCTGGTTCTCCCACAGCGGAGGGACGGGACTGGGCGATCCCTGCAGCTCCTTCCCACCCTACACGTCCTTTTGCTGCCGACAGTGAGCAAATACTGACACTCCCACCACCTGCTAGGAAAAGAAAAAGCAATTTCCAGTCATCATTTGTACCAGGAACACTACCTTCTGCCAGGAGAAGAGGAGGAAGTTCGGAGTGGCCGCTCACGGCCCCGGGGAAGCTGAGGACAGCCGCCTTAACGTCCACCAGTCGTCCTTTGCAATTCTGTCACCGCAGAGCACAGATTTACATGGGACCTCCCTGCTTCTCGGAAGAGGCCAGAGGCACAGCCGAGCCGCCAGCTGGGTGTCAGGACAGAGCGGTGCGCTAACAAACACCTTCCCAACATCAGCCTAGACCAAGAGACTGGAGTACTGAGAGAACTCATGCTTTAATAGACACTGAAATCACAAAGAAAAAAGGCCAAATGCCTTAGCAATTTCAATAAAAATATGAAAATCTTTTTACATGGTAAATTTCATAATATAAAAAGTTTAATGCTGTCTGGAAACAGAGTTTTAATTTACAAAGAAAGTCCACAGAGGCCAGACATGGCTAACACTGCATACAAGGAGAGCAAGTGCTAAAGGACTGCTGCTTGGAAGAGTCTCTGCTGCCAGGCCTCTCCGGGTTACCGTCCTCAACGCTCTTTGGACAGAGTTCTGCGACCGAGGGGCCACGTTTCCCACATGCAGTTGCAGCCCTTCTGGACAGCACAGCAATGCAATGAACCTGGAACTGCTCAAACCCATGATTCACCATCTAGCCTGAAACCACCAGTGTTTCCTGACAGATTCACAGGTACTCTGTGCACCTGGAGCTATTCTGCAACTTGGAAGAGATGCTCACAGAACGAGCCTGACCTAACAAAACGCCACATGGCCTGGAGTGACACACGCGGGTTAGCACCCCTCCAGTGCTTTCTCCTTGTTCAGGTGTGATTGGAAAGCAGGAACATCAGTACCAGGCCAGAATTCAGGCTAACCAACAAAATCAAACTAAACTGGATCTTGATCAGAGAGATTGTTTACTGTTCCCATTTAGTTGGAGCTAAAGAGAGTCAATAAAAAAAAAATCTGTAATCTCACACAGTAAAACATACTGGGCAAAACCAAACTAAAATACATTCTATGGCCTTGGGGAATGGTTGCATGTGGCAGGTTTAATGTGAAAGTGGATAATACCTAATTCTTATTGCTCACTGTATGAAGCAGTGTTGTCACTTGTACCATGCACAAATACAACAACGACAAATGCATTTAAACTCCACAGAAGGAATTCTAATACCAAACGGAGAACATGTTATTTTAATTTCCTGAATTTCTCCACATATTGGGCAAACCTGATAGAACTCTTTTTTCCTCAGAAAGGGGCTGTTTCTCATTCAGGGGGTAGAGGAGTGAGGCACGAGGTGTGTGAAGTGTCTCCCAGCCATGAGCAAGCATGCATCTTCATGGCTCTCGTGAAGCCAACAGAAGTGCCCCGTGTCAAGTCAATGGAAACATGTTTGCCACAGGACTTGTTCTAGTGACACTCACCTTCCATATTTATACAACACCAATTTCCCAAATACCGAACTTTCTCTACATCTGAACCCTTCCCCATTTCTAACGCTCCCCTCCCTTAAAAAAACAGCAGAACCACCCCCCCCCCCACACCCCAATTTAGCTCTTTCTGAAAACTTACAGCCAGTATGAAAGCGACTGGCAGCACGAAAATGGGTTGTACCAAAATGTCCATATATAGTTCCTACAGATTAAAAGATCCTTTAGTTATGGAAGTAGACTACAAGTAAAGAGGCTTATTTCTGGCGCGTTATGCAGCACTACAGGGAGTATTTGCTGTTGCTATAAACAGAAAGCTGCCCACTTCCATCCTGGATGTTCCTGGGATGTCGTTTTAAGAGTTATGCTGGTTAGAAACAGCTCAGGTCACATGAAGTCTCTCAGCAGTCTTGTGACCACAGCAAGCTGCACGATCAGCAATATCACCGTCTGCACGACTGGCAGACACTGTACTGACTCATTTTGGCCCACTATCCTAATTTTTCCTGCCAAATGACGAGAAGATTATATCTAGCACCAAACCATCACAGAAAGATGTAATGTACAGACAAATAACTTGTATCACGAGTTGAATAGATTTACTCAACTGTCCTGCTACATTGCATAAGGTGAGTAGATGGGTAACTACTCTTTTTGTCGTTCTGCACTGAAACCTTTGTGATCATCCATCCCTTGTTAGCTGACTGTAACAACACAGCCATATATATATTCTTTGCCTTTAGTGCTTGTGTTAATTTCTTGCGATGGCAAAAAGGAAAACGTTCTCCTGAAACCAGCGGATTCTAGAGTATACTCAAAGCAAGAACTTGGTACATGCACCAGGAGTAAACTGAGCCTAAGTAATTTTATATTCCGGTATCAGAACTGAATCCTCTGTCCTGCTATCATGCTTTTCCTCCAAGATCTCTAAGACAGTCACAAATGATCAGGTCCATATTTTCAATAAGAGCATCCAGACACAAGTGCAACAATTATCTGCATCAGCAGCGTGCCCCGAACACATCGACAGAGCTGACTGCACTCACCGCTCAGGTAGTCAGTTGCAAGACTGGAAGTTGACTTACGATCCAGCTAAAACTCAGGGCCTAATTAATCAAGCCTCACAACACCTCTGTGAGGTAGGTAAGTATTACTATCCCCATGTAGATAGAAAGGGAAGACGAGGCACGGAGAGGTGAAGTGATTAGCCTTCAGTCACTCAGCGAATTTTGGGAGTGCAGAATAGAAACCAAAAGCCTTGGTGATCCAGTGCTCTGACCTCACAGCACACGGCCCGTGAAACGCTTTGCTGGGATCTGAGTGTGCAGCGTGGCTGAGTTAGTGCTACCACCTGGCCACAGTTTCAGTGCATGTAACTTATCCTTCTGACTCTATCACTGCATTCAGCAGCCACTTGAATAATCTCCAATGTGATCCCTAACACCTGAACACCACCTGGCCTAGGAAAGCTGACTTCACACATCACCCCTGGGCTGCTCTTGGTTCTCTCTTCTCCAGGGATCCGAGGGCGCACAGGTTCTGCAAGCAGCTGCTCTGCTCGCTGCCTCCTGCTCTGACATCTGCTCAGACTGGTGTACTTGCTCCAGAAGAAGCTTGCTTCCACAGCCACAGAAAGGTTTGCAGACCTGCCCGTGAGGGGCTGCGTGGAATGATTTTGCAGGACTGGTGAAGCATTTATTTTCTCAGCTGATTCTAAATCCCACCCACAACCCACTGTGGAACTGTAAAATAACGCTCTGAGCTCCAGTGTCTGTAACCCTTTTCTGTCCACACCTGGCAGACAGAAGACATCTCTGCTGCCCAAATACTCGCCAAGATGAAAATTTCACCTTCATAATGATGTGTTGCAGAAAGATCAGAGCATTCACTAACACCAGAACTTGTCTCTCTGACACACGCTCACTACCCCACTCTGAGGCTCACCTTGCTCGTTATGCCCCAAACATCCTTTTTGAGCGAACCAACCAGCAAGATACCACCCAAAGGTTTACCTCCAGAAAAGAGCTACCTGAGACGCAGGTTTTAGAATGGGGCACCTCTGTGCTCTTGTCTTTGTTTCACCAGGCTCTACATGATGCAAGAGAACTGCCAATACCACACTGCTATGGAGTTTTATTGCCAGAAATTTCCTACGTTTGGCTAACGTGGCAGAGATACCTAGAGGTACGTGATCTTGTCCTCTCTGTCAGCCTTTGAAAGCAATCCAATAAATGGCTTGTACTTCTCCAGACAGAAACTTGTGCATACTTTCATTGGGGTATACACGAAAGTTCTGCCTCCTCTCGCTTCCCTCTCCAATCCCTGATATGTATAATTTCTGTATAAAAAGCCAGCAGTAAAACCTCCTGCTAGGTCAGGAAATACAGACAGGTGTCTGAAAAGCGAGTATTTTATGGACAACTGGATTCATCGGACCTGTTGCTGCAAATACTGAACACTACATAGAACCTGTTATCAGCTGAGTCTGGCCAAGGTCCTGGTACGGGAAACTAAAACCCATCTGTGCACAGCCCGCGTTCCTGCACAGCGACAGACGGGGCCAATCTGTCACATTCCTGTGCACTGCCAACTGCGGGTACGACCACGGCTTCTGAGATAAGGGTTCTGTATTGATAAAGGCAAGTGGGCAGAAGCAAATACTTTTACAAGACTGTAAGTCATCAGCTGGTACTCCAGACACTTCAACATTTGGAGGATGGAAAAAATCTTCCTGGTGACAAAAATTTATAACCGTTCCCAGATGGCAGCCTCAAGGGTCGTGCGGTTCCTGGAGTGCTGCCGGAAGGTGGAGAATGAGTTGACGTCACTGTATTTGCAGTTTCAGAGCGCCTGTGTCCATTGGGAGGGTTCTTTTGTGGAGAAGCAAGGTGTCGCTCAATAGACAGGTCCTTCAGTTCCAGCTTATCTGCGCTTTCCTCCTTGCTGTGTCGTGGAGATAAATTGAGCAAGCTGAGGACATCCTTCTTAGAAGTCATTGTTCCAGGAGCATCTCGCAGAATCTTTATTGGGCCTGTGGAGTGATGGGGAGTGCTCTGCCAGAACATCTTTAAGTTGTGAATTGCCTGCACTTTTTCATCGATGGCTGCCATTTTTAATTTGTCTATGTCAGGGGCATCAGCTGGACTTGAGCGAGCAGAACCAGCCGAGGAATAAGAAAGAGCAGGAGATGGAGTGCTGCCACCAGGAGACTGATGCCCTGAGCTCGGAGAGATATTTCTGGGTGATTTAGAAATATGAGCGCTGTAGGGAGAGCTGGGGTACTTCAGTTTGAAGTGAGGCTGCTCAGTTAAGGACTCATGAGAGCCACAACCTGGAGATGGCTGCCTGCTGTGCTGGCCCATGCCTTCTTTGTTTGACATCTCCGATGTCGTAGGGCTGTTGTAGCCAGAACTCACTTTCTGAAGGGATGAGCTCCGTGTAGGAGGCTTTGGTTTAATTGCAAGAGGTGAGGACTGATTCTTCTGACTAGAGCTGATAGGCCGACTGAACGCACTGGTCTCTGAAGATCTGAACGCAGACACGCCCGCGGGGGCGGAAGCCCCATCATCTGAATTGTTGCTCTTGCTTATCTGGCTGCTGCTTCTCTGAAGACGTTCAACAGCAATGAGGTGACTCTGAGTTTCCTCCAGAATCTTTTGGGCCAACTCTTGTGGATCAAGCTTTGGATTACTGTCCTCCTGGGATTTGACAGTGCTGTCAGTCTCCGTGCTAGACTGGTCAGATTCCCCAGTATCAGAACTTGCAAGTTTCCCAACTTTTTGGAAAGGTGAATTTGGACTGGGAATAAGAGTCATTTTAACAGGAGAATTTGGGGTACTTACGCTCGCTTTGGAGTTGACAGGCTCTTTAATGCCTCCAGTCTGACCAGTTTTGGGCTGTTTGTGATCAGGGGAAAACCTTGGTTTGTTTTCTTGGTAACTGGCCAAAGGCTCGTTGCTGATTATAGAAAACCCTTCATACTCTTCCTCATCTTTGCTGGCTACAGTGCTGGTCTGTGGTGACAGCTGGCTCTGCACTGCAGACCTGTGCGGATAGATGTTCTTGGGCCTCTCATAGTCCTGCCGTCCTCTGTGTCCTGCACCATCTGGCATGCTTTCTGGCTTGGAAACAAAACTCATGGAAGAGGCAATGGAGCTCAAGCTATACACAGAAATGGCATCTGATGCAATGCTGTCTGGACACGTAGGAGAGAAGGGAGGGTTCTGGTACTGAGGTACAGGGTTGGAAACAGACTGAGCAGAAGCCAGTGACTCTAGTGATGAGGAACTGTCCAGGCTAAGGCGCTTAGGCAGCTCTGTAGAATCTAAAAAAGAAAAAAAAAATGTTCAAACATGCCCCTAGATACATAGTAAAATAAAACAAAACCAGCTAATGTTCTTATCAGAATTAAGAGGAAATGCTACAAAACATGCATTCAGACTCTATGCTACTTTGAAAGACCCAGACACTACTTAGGTGAAAAAAACCCACGTGCACAGCCCAGGAAATGCACAGGTGGGATCCTCAGCCCAGGTATCCTAGATGAAACTTGGCAACTCATTATCACTTTATATCTCAAAAACATATATATTATACATCCTCCAGTTGCTGGACTCTATTCCCAGCTTTGGCCTCAGCCAGGTCTTAGTGTTTGTTTCCCAAATTAAAACAAAATGTGCTGCACCCATTGTATGATGTACGGTCTGTATGACACGTGCGTGATGAGGTATGTATGATCTCTGCAAAAGGTAAGTGTTATATTTCAATAGAAACCATTCTGATCAAATCACCGGATGATATAGGAACAAAAACTACTCTAAGCAGCTTTACCAAAAAGTGCCAGCAAGGCTTGTAGAGCAAAGTGCATGGTCCTCCTATTAGCTTGCTTCCCAGTTTTCAGAATCACCTCCTCTTGGCCAACTTCACAAAGGTCAAAACCTGTAGCAGAATATGGAGCAGAAAATCACACCTCACAGAAAGATCCAGTGTCTTAAACAAGCGTGATCTCATTTCTAATACAAAGAGAACAAAAAGATATGAGATCCTGCGGTGTGCTGGAATGATGACTCTTCACCTGCAATGCACAGTTTGTTGGTTTGTTTTTATTACTGTTGAGCATGCCTTCCCCAGCAGGTGTTGGGAGCTTTATGGTGCTGGACTGTGAGCACACACACACACACACCCCCTACTCCTGTCCATACTGACAGACGAAATGCACTAGTCAGTACTTCTTTAGTTGCAAATTATTTGGAATTGTCAAAGAATGGTAGAGTAAATCGATGTCAGGGGACAGTGTCCCACATGCCCCTACCATTCATCATTAATGTAAAGGTTTCTCACAGAAATGTGTCTGAAGAAGAGCACAGACCTTGGAATTTAGCAGAGGAGGGCTGTGCTGCAGGAAGCATGACTGTGTGTGAGAAATGATACCCGGCTTTTATGAGCTAATCAAGCAGTCTTCTTGGATGTTTGTTTCTCCAGCATTGCCTCCTCCCTGCAATGCCCTTTTACTAACTCTAAGCACGGTCCAAGCCGAAACAAAACCTAGTGTGATACTTAGTTCTCATCTGTCTTTTCTGCAGGATGCAGACCCTGGTAGGTACTACCACCCTGGTACGTCCTACCCCTGACTGGTGCACAGGTTTCCCTGACAAAGGAGTGACTGGTTCTCTTCAGGCAGAAGGCCAGAAGCAAACTCAAAATTATGTACTATGAACAAGAGGGGAACAGGATCCTGAAATAAAACCTGGGGTTAAACCAACTTGACACCACCAAGATGCTGTCAACCCTGAAATCCATGTTCTGCTGACTCAGGAGGTGTCCCAGCCAGCGAGCAGACGAGCTCCACGCATGTGAACGGGCAAAGAGTACTGAGCTGTCAGGGATCACATCCAGACACAAATCTAAAGCTGTGAGTCTCCTCACTGCTTCAAGCCACCATATAAGACACCAGCAATAGTTTAGAAAGACAGCGGAAAGAAGCGTTTTCCTACCTAGAGCTGCGAGAAACTCATGACAGCCAGGCAGCCTCCAGAGCTGGACACTGATAGAAACCTGGATTGGTGCAGAGGAGAAATCTTGCTCCTTCTCACCTGCCTGAAGTTGAACCAGGACCTGGTGCAGCTGCAGACAGCAATAAACATTAGCCACTCCTTACAAATTGTATCACTGCTTTTCCGAGAGTCACAGCTAAGGAACTGCCCTGCAAATGCCCCTCTCCCTGCACACCCACACGTTCAGGTGCTGCTCCTGGACAGATGGAAGGGTCTGGGCAGAGGGACACCCCGGGGCAACAACAGTGGACAAACCTGACCAGCAGCAAAGGTAGGGACAGGACGGGGGGTGAGGGTAGGGGGTGTGGCCAGTGGAAACTGAGCAAGAGGGAAGCACAGCAGGAAAGTCTGTGAAGGGAAAGAAAAGGAAAGAGAGACTCTGGGGCTGCTCACAGAAATATCCTAAACACCATTCCATGACTGAGCCACACTCCTTATGCAAATCCCAGGAAACTCATTCTCAGCATTTAACTGGGCAGAACAAGTCATATGAAACCATGGAAGACTTTCCTAATACCTCCATGGCCTGCAGGAAAGAAGTTTCTCAACTGTGCCCATGGGACAGGGGGACCAAAGTAGAGAAGAAATGTGTTTATGAAGATCTGACACAAATTAAGGTGCCAGGATCCCATGTAATTAAAAACCACAGCCAGGGCAGGAAGGATGGAAAGTTATTAACCAGGGGCCAGCTAACCTCAGGACCACCCATCTCTTACAACCCCCAGGAGCTTACAGAGTCTTTTTCCACAGTAGCACTAGGGAGCCAATTCCAGGCCTGACTGCGGGTTGAAGACACTGTGCAGCACAGGGAAATGGGTCCACAGTGAACAAGGCATTTCATCCTGCACAGCACTGTCATTTCCCAGCCCATGTGATACTCACCATTCCCACCATATTTTTAACAGCCTTCGGGCAGCAGACAACAAGAAAGGAAAGAGGAGAAAAGAAAGAACACACAGGTTATACTGTGCTGCGAAGTGCCTGCGATAGGGAACCCTGCAGCGACACATCCACATACAAACCAGCGTCCTGACTGCAAGCTGCTCTATCCAGAGAGAGAAGGGAGCAATGGACATGGCTCGAGCTGTGAATCAGGAGTCCAACAGCGTGGGAACGGGCAGCTGGAATCTGGGAGTGCCCAGCCCATCTCAATCAACTCAGACCTTCAGCAGGCTGATACTCAGGCCAACCCACATTCTGGCAGAAGGCTGAACAAAAACCAAGCTCTCGTTTTCTCTGGGATACACCAGCACTTAATGCAGTCAGCAATCCCTAACATTTCCTTGCACGTGCAGTAGTACTGAAGTTCTCTCTTCTCTGGCTCCTGCTTTCTGTTTTGCAGTAAAAATCAGCATTTCCCATCAGCATTTCCCATCCAGGGCAAAAGATCAGGCTCCCTGCCTCGCTGCTTCCCTAATGCCACTATCACCCATATGGGAAAGACGGTCAGCAACACCCACTGACTGCACTGTTAGTCATTACGCTTCAGATTTGAACGAAGTCTTAAGCTCCTCATTAACTGAACTACCAAGAGGAAGGAGGGGAAAAAAACAAGTAACCACAGAGGAAGGGAGGGCTAAGTTGAAAAATCCTAACTTGTAACTGGATAGACTCTTGTGCAAAAGGAAAGTCTGCCTGGGGTTTGGGCTACAGAAGAACATTTGCAAAACCAATGCAATACCCCTGCCATAAACACAATATTTATTGCATGGGGCAGCTAGGAAATGGTGAGTGCATCTTCTGTTAGCTGTGTACAACCGTCTGAATGTTTTTTACCATGAGGGTGGTGAGGCAGTGGCCCAGGGTGCCCAGAGAAGCTGTGGATGCCCCATCCCTGGAGGGGTTCAAGGCCAGGCTGGATGAGGCTTTGGGCAATCTGGTCTGGTGGGAGGGGTCCCTGCCCATGGCAGGGGGTGGCACTGGGTGATCTCTAAGGTCCTCTCGAACCCAAACCGTTCTGTGATTCTATGATCTAAGGCAAGAAGACAATCATGAAGTAATCTCATGGACAGTGTAACACATTCCGATCTATCAGAATGTTGTCTTCTACTCATCACGTCCCTTCTACTCCGGGCGTCCCTCTGGTGGCAATGAGGAAAAAATAACCCTGCTAGTCAACCACAGAAGTCCCAGGCACTGTGAAGATCCAAGGCAAGAAAGCAAAATGCCATTAAGAACAGGCCATTAGAACTATCTCATGTGCTACTGTAGATCACAAGAAACTCTTTCCTGGCAGCAGATTCAGTTTAATGGACAGACAAAGAAGGCTTCTTAGTGGGCAAAAGCAAAGCTGGGGCTGCTACTCTGCATTTTGTACAGAGACTCAGCCTCACAGAATGAAGGGGAGCCCTCTGAAGCTATCAGAGATAATCCCAGCTACCCACCACTATACTTCCCCAGAACACTTTTGCACAGGGAAAGGGGAAAAGATAGTGAGCTATGTGCCCAGTCACTATGTGCAGTGTGTTCAGTTACTAAAACAGGCAAATGATCCAGAGAAACCTCATCAGAGGAGTGATCAGGACAGTAAGAAGCACGGAACAGAAATCCAGCCAGGCGGGTAGCACAGTTAGGTTGGGCTAGGCATGCTAGAAAGACTGGGGAGAGGGAGGAAAGTGGAGGAGACTGGGGGCAGGCAGGTGGGCAGGGAGGAGTCCCACAGCCACAGGTGCCACTGCCCTTCTCTTAAGGACCGTGAATCCCTCCAGCAGAGCTATCAGCACGCACACCAGGAGCAGCACAGGCTCAGTCAGTTTTCTGACAGACCTGGCATTGTCCAAAGTCAGCTACACCTCGGGACTTTGGTAATTACAGTGGACAAACACCAGCCAACATGGGCCCTAGACAGGATGGCCAAATAGCAATTAGTGGTTCTGCCACTCATTTCCCATACTTTGCTTATCACGTTCTCTCTTCTGTCATTGAGTAGGGAGACCCAGGGCCATGCAGCCCACTAACATACCTGCACTTTTCTCTTCTGGATGAACACTTTCATTCACATGAACACCAAGTGTAGAATTTCAACCCTGATGTCTCCTAGCAAGCTCTGGGTTGACAGACCAGGGCACAAATCATTCTTGTGCATTTCTAAATATACTGACCTGCAAAGAACCATTTGGAAACTGGTACGGGAGGAACACCTCCCAACTCACCCGGCTGATAAGCTGCTCTCCTGTTTCTGAAGCTGTGATAAGTTTACAAAGTGCCTGAAGTGCAGGGTTAGGCAAACCTGAAAAACACCATCAGCAACAGGGATTGTTCAGTATCTGTTTCTTGACTGCTAGCAATGCAACAACCTGAGCAGAACACAAACTCAGCTAATTCCTAAGAAACCCTCCTCCACATCACTGAACAGTTCTGGAAGCAGCAGCAATTTCCAGAAAGCAAAATGTTTTCCCACTTTGCATCTGATTATGCACTTCATGACTGAGAGCTGGGAGAACAGAATACTCACATTATGCTTCTCAGATACTGGACCCAGTAGTAAATGATTCCCACCTATGACAAAATTTTCAGTAAACATCTACTTCTAGAACCTCTACCCTGTTAAATACTTTAATGTCATTGATGCAAAACATCGTTTTACGGACTTGCGTCAAAGAAAGGCAGGGAAAGGTCGAAGTCTGCTTGAACAGATGAGGACAGAGCCTGTAGCTGGCCTGCTTCTTACCTAGGAGGGACTGTATGGTGGTACTGCACTGCTGTAGCCGGTCACCGGGGTCAGAGGTTGGGAAGAACACTGCTGCCGGGAGGCCACTGGCTGGAGGGTCCAACCGAAATCCTACCGCAGTGAGTAGTGCCTGCCAGCCTGGAATGCCACCAACTTTATTCTCCACGCTTTGCTGGGAGGTATACATGGAGTTGTGCTGCCCATTCTGGATTCGCTGCAGTGATTTCTCCACCTTTGGGGAAAATACAGCATGAGCTTATTTTATAAGAGATTTTTACTAACCACCTCCTCTTACACTGCGAAGAGGCAGGAACAGCAGGCTGAGAGACAGCAAACCCAGTGCTGAACTTGGCCTGTCTTACACAGAGAGATGTTAGTGCCCTTGAAAACAGAGGCTTCAGTAACTCAGCTCACACAGCTGTAAAATCACCGTGATTCAATATTCCCTGCGATGCTGGGGAAAGTAATGCCACAGGAAACCAAGTACTGGTTTGATTGTGATAGTTTTCTATAAGCCTGGCAGCTGCATTTCTCCCCAAAAGACAACTCACGTTCAGGTTCCAGTCTCTCGTGTACATTGTTTATTACCAGGCAAGAGGCTGCAGCTATATGGTAAACAGTAAAGAGAGATGTGTGTCCACAAAACCCAGCAACTGGGATGACCAGGCATAGTCACAGGTTTCCATCATCTTATGGATACTTCACACTCCTGTGGGACCCCAGAAGACACATTGGAAAGAGAAGTATTAAAAGACATGAGAGATTACTCTGGACATCCAGCAGTTTGGCCTCAGCCCTGCTGCTCCCCACAACAGGCTACTGGAAAAGTGCCTCTGATCTTCCAAGTCTGCACAGACACAGCGGCCACTATGCTCTGTATCTCCATGACTTCACAGCTACTTTCTTGTAGAAACAACTAATCCCGATGATTACCTCATTTTTAAAGACCCAACTCAACAGCTAATGCAAACCAGATGGGTCTGGGGAGGATTTTGTCACAATACGATGTAAGACTTCGCTCGCTTTGCCTCTTCTTGCTCCAGACATGCCATCAGGTGTCTGAGGCCTTTCGCACTGACCCAGAGTTTTCACAAGAGAGTACACTCCCTGGGGTAAGGGAGAAGGGTTGAAGGGACATATTCAAGTGTCAGTGGCTACACATCAGGCGCTTCTCTTTCCATCCACCATTTACAGACACATGCCCACAGGTGACATCATCTCACATCTGCCCGGGCTGCAATGCCCCTCCCTGTGCCTGCCGGCGGTGGTCGTGTTTCCTTTCTCTTACCAGGTGTAGCAGGACGCGCAGAGCATCTCGTGCCCTTTCAGGGTGCTGCAGAATCTCCGTCAGGGCCTGTCCTACCAGGGAAGAAGGGCTGTTCAGCTTCGTGTCACTCCCAATAAGCATGAAGCCTGGAGGATTCAGATAAGAGATGCTCAACCTCCTTTTGTTATACAAAATGTTCAAAACAGAAGCAGATATCCTCTGCCCTCTCGAACTAATGGAATGATGGTTTACTGTGCCCTGCACAGTGACATTCTTCTCGCAGAGCAGCCGCCAACCCCTGCCTGGTCCCACAGACCAAACTTGGAGAAAGCTTCTAGATGCTTCTTACTGTCCTCTATTAAATACATTGTTTTCCTGATCAAGCAAATGGAAAAATACTGTAAGGCAGCTAAACTTGTCCTAGCATGCTCCATGCATGGGTCATAGCATTTGCTCTAGCTAACGCCATCCCAGGGACACCGGAAACTTCACCCTATGGATTTCAAACACAGGGAGTGAGTTACTGTATTGCACATGGTTTCTTTCCAGTCATGAAACCACTGTGATGAAACACACTTCATCTCACAATTGCTTTAAATTTATCAAATTCATAACCCCCTTACTACACACAGGGAAATATGGACATTTTCTATGACACTGACATTCAGCCACACTCCGTCGAATCAGGGTCTGAAGCACGGGGACAGAATTCTAGGAGAGCACAGAGCACATGCTACTCCCAGCTATCTGCTAGCACTGCTCCTTGCTTAACTCAAACAATTTGGCATAAGAGCACTTCCTAGAAACCCTCTCTTGTCTGTCAAAAAGCAGATTCTTCCTACCTGCCCAGTTGGACGGATGGGAGAACTGCTTGCTGCTCTGCACAGTTTTCATCGCCTCTCCAAGGGCTGCGCTGGCTTTCATCCCATTCAAGAGGGAGGAATAGAAGGCATGCACAAACATTTTGGAAGCAGCCACAGGAACGGGCCAGAGTGACACCAGGACGCTCTGAGCCCCAGCAGCCAGGAATGCTCTTGTCAAGCCAATGACCCCATCAGCAGTGACTTTGCTGTTGGATTCTTGGTAAGAGCCAAGAACTACTAATTTGACAGGAAGCCGCAGATCCAGGACATCAGCTGCTGTAAGCAGAAACTCCTGAAGAGGAGGACAGTCTGAGATGCTCTCTACATCACTGGCATCATCCTGCATCCGAAGGGATTCTGGGATTGTGTAGGGGTTCCCAAAAGAACTCTTGCTGCTGGCTGGATTGCTGTCAGTGCTGGGTGTCAGGACCAAAGCAGCCAGTTTCCAGGAGACATGGGTTGCAAAATGGACACATTCTGCCTGAGTGAGGGCACTCATGACCCTCTCTTTTGTTGCTGCACTGCCAACTAACGGCTGGCAGCCAAGTAATTCAGATACCATATATGCTTCCTCTTCTGCAGAGGGCATAGGTCCCCAGAGCCACCTGTCCATAACTGCTGACGGGAGCTTGGGATTTCCTATGACAGCTGCCATTGAGGTAGAATTGGAGTAAGCAGGAGTATTCTTCCTTGCATGGGACTACAGAGAGAAAGAAAAAGAGAAAACAGCGTTCATAGATCTGTTTGTTATGGTGCTGGCAATAAAATATCCTGTCTCTTTGGCTCTAAACAGAACTCTGGTTGTCATAATTACAAAAAAACTTGCGTTTCTTTAGTTTCTTCCATTGAACTATCCCAAGGAACATCTCCACTTGAGTCAAGATTTCTATCCCCACATCTTGGGGGAACAGACAGAAAGCAACAGACCTAGCCCAGGTCCCTTTGAGGGCTGTAGCAGGGCTAAAATCTTAAAGAAGACCCCAGCTTCCCACCTCATGGGAAGACTACGTGTAATCACTCACCAACTAGTTACTTGCACGTGCATTTCCAGGATCAGTATCAGCACTGTCAGCAGCACGGCGCTTCATGCAACTGATGACTGGGTCCTGGGACTGACCAGAAAAGCCTAATCCCCACAGCAGTAATGCTGACCAGGTTCAGACCCTTTTGCTGTTCCAGTGACTGTGTTTAACCCAGTGCGAGCCAAGACACGCAGCAGAACACTGCTCAGCAAGAGCAGACAAAACTTAGGGTATTCTCCCTGGAGACCAGGGCCTTAGAAATGCCAATGCCAAGTATCAGCATGAAGATACTTCTGCAGGTTTTGCCTGTGGTATTTGCTTTGCCTTATACCTTCAGTGTCACGAGACATGAGTGGCCTTCTCCATACAGAAAGCTAAAATTTAGGTAAACACACCAGCAATGTGACAGGATAGCCGGCTTGCCGAGGAACCTCAGTACAGACCACAGACACCTCCATTTCTGCAGTCTGCCATGCAGTTCCACACCCCAGGACATGCTATCCTTCAGACAAGGATATCCACATGATTCATCCCCCTTGTCCTTCCTGGCATGCCTGGGGTGGTGATTTTGTGCTGCAGGAACTACATCAGAATCTACTTCACGTCTGTGGTGTTCAACGTGCCCATCAGAACTGGCAGTGCCTCGGAAAGTGGCACATTTGTGGTTTCTGTTCTTGTGCCTGGCATAGCAGGACAGAGCTGCTGCTATTCCAGCAAGTCTAGGAGCCTGCACCCCCCAGGAGAGTTCTGTGAAAGGGGTTTTATGGGGCAATGTCAGACCTTGGAGCTGGGGTTCAGCGACTGGATGGACGGCACCGCAATGAGGCTGAAGCGCTCATAGAGGTACTCATTGGAGGAACTGCCCTTCAGGAGAGCAAAAGGAATGAGATACAGTTCTCCCTCCAGAACCAGTATCAGCTGGCGGTGGCGGCCAACAGGCCCACTGGAATGCATCAAACCCTGGAAAGAAAAGAGAGAGAACCAGTTTCGCCCTTTCACTCCATCAGTGCCCCAGCCTGCACTTTCCAAGCGTCAGGCTCTAGTCTGAGCCCACGTCAGGTTTGGAAATATCCATGTCAGAATTACTCTGTGGGAACACAGATGTGGTGACAGGCGAACACATGTTGGCATTGGACAGACCTATCCAGCCGGACTGCTGCTCACCTGTGCACAAACACGTGAGATGGACGAGCCTTGGGCACACTCATGCTGTACAGATCTTGGTCATCGCACCCAGTCTCAGCAAGCGCACTGGGGACCAGCCGCACCACAGTACAGCAGCCCCTCCTGTTAACCCCACCCACCTATGTTCTTGTCAATATTATCATCACCCTATCCTTTGAAAGAGAATACTCTTTCTGGTATTACATTTCAAAATAGCGATTTCCTATACAAAAGCAAATGATCTACAGACGGATTGTGTGTGTGACCTGTGCTTCAAGACACTCCACCATAATCAACCCAGAGCCACAAACAGGTTTAAACAGAACAACATTAATCTTCTTTCCTGGGTTGATTCGGCCTTCGGATTAT